GCGCGTGCGGCGGGGCGTGGTGCGGCGCGCGCGGCCCGGCATGCACCGCGGCGGCGTTTGAATGGCGCAGGCTCCGGGCGCCGGGCCCCGGCAGTAGCGCTCCCGCCGCTCAGCCCGCCCGTCCCGGCCCCGAACATGAGCAGCGGGTGAGTGGGGCGGGGGGTGCCCGGGAGCCCGGGGCCGCCGGCGGGGGGGAACGCGGCGGGGCCGCTCTCTGCCCCGCCGGGACCGGGCGCGGCTCCGAGGAGTCTCGCCCGGGCGTGCGAGCCGGCGGCGGAGGCTGCGGGCGGCGCGGGGGCGCGGATCGCTCCGTTCAGCTCCGTCCCGCTCCGTCCCGCTCCCCGGCTGTCCCGGACTGGCCCCCGGCACAGCTCTGTGCCGTGCCTGCCCCCTCGGGAGAGCGAGTTGTGGCGCTTCGGTCCCTTTCTAAAATGGTGCCATCAGCCTCAGCTCGAAGCAGGCGTGTGCAATGGCAGATACGTGCCAGAAGAGCGGGGAAGGCTCTGGTGCTGCCGAAAGGGAGGACAACAAGCTGGGTGTGAGGCCTGCTGACGGATTTAATTTCTTGGGTGTGACAGATTCCAGGGGGAAGGAAGGGGGGGAAAATCCTAAGTGCTTGAAGATCAGATCATGCATTAATTACTTTGTTCGAAAGCCTTCAAGTTATTTTTTCAGTGTTGTGCTGGATGGTTTGACGTGCAGATTTAAAATAAAGACATTTTAAATAGGGAGATCTTTTAAGGAGAGAGATTAGGTGGTGATCTTGGAAATCTTCTGTTTCTGTTTTTGTAACGTGCTCTGCTTTGGAGCAAGGTTAAGTCCCTTTGCTTAAAAGGAGCTTTTGTCCATCTCTTAGAATATAATTTTTGCTTTTCTTGTATCCCTATTTTCTTCTTCCTATTATTGTGTGGCTGTAATCAGGGAAATTAAAAAAAATAGCTACCCATGCTTAGTAGAATTAAAGCATAACAGAAGGTTGTTGGTGCCTCTTTGGCCTTGTTCATTGGACATGTTTTTATCTAAAAACATCACTAACTTCTTATTGATAGTGCATTTAGCTTTGATTTAAATTTCTCTAATGTTATTCCATTGAATTCAAATTGCCACTGATATAAATTCCTAAACTTTATAACTCAGGATTTCATTATATTAAAAATAATATTAAGGTATTTTATATATTATTATTAAAATTTTTATGCACRTATTTGGATATGCACATATTCTTATATATGTGTGTATATATACATTCACTTACCTGCTTTTGAAACTTCTCTTTTAAATTTATTTTCATTTTATCTCATAATACTATATATTATATAATGTGTATGAGATATATTTCATATATATTATTTAACAATAATTTAAATTAGCTATTTAATAGAAAAAAATTAATTCTGTGCTGGTCCCAGGGTAAGAAGCTTGACTATAAAGTAAGGGTTTTTTAGATGCTATGAATAGACTACAGTCAGTAAGAGGCGTGTATTTGAGGGTAGCGTAAAAAGTCATGTGAAGGCTGTGCGTAATGTAGTCGCGGACTGTTCAGCCAGGTGGGAATGTAGTGAGTACCAACGTCACCTCCACTAAGTTCTGAGCTTGAMGGGTTTCCCAGTATGTCTGTCTCTGGGTTTGAATTCAAAATTATGTTGCAGTTTTTTTTTAACTCTGGGTTTAGCAATAAATGGTAAAAAAAAATTTGCTGTATTAGATTTCATTAGTAGCTTCTTAAAGAATTGTGTAAAATATTAATGTGAGAGTTTCAGTGTAGTGGAAATTTGTTTCCTATGTAACACCTCTATATGTTTTATAACTTTTCCAAACTTATATCYCTAGTGTTCATAAGTGACAATCAACAGGTAAATGTATTTTTTCATTCTTGAAAGATGCCTTCAGAAAGGACCAACCCACTGACAGCTGCTACTACTTTATGGCAGCATAACATATCTGTAAATGGTACTTCCAGATGCAGAAAACAGAATTCTTGTTTGACTTCTTTTGTAGAAAATGTGAATAAGTTTCAGTTRTTAGACACCTGGGCTATCTCTACAAGGAGAGCTAATGTCTGTCTGGGTTCATGCTCACTAAACTTGAATGAATTGTGACTGGTCATTTTTGGAGGTTTGTTATGACTGACAGTATGCTACATGCCAATTCTATATGTAAGTGGAAATATGTAAGTTTAAATCCTAGGTATAAGCTAATTTACTAACATTAGTTGCTCAAATAGTGTTTGTATTTACTGCAAATTTAGCAAAATTGTTTTTATCAACATAGGAAACTTAAAACTGGAACAAATGGCCTGACAGATGTAGGACATTAAAAAACTGTGATCTGTTGGCATGTAAGACATTATARTGTTGCAGAAAAATTTTATGTCAACATACTCCTAAGAATCTTGAACTCTACTTCCTTTTTTAAGAAAATTCAGTATTTAACAGCTGGTCAATCATCAGTACATGARTTACTAATAAAATTTTTAAAAACCAACAAATTTTCATATTCAAAGGATGTGGAAGCATTCTAAAACAAAGACTGATTGATGGATTTGGTAACTTTTGTCAGAGCTAAAATGAAAGAAAATTATGCCAAGCTTACAAAATCACTTCTACATCATACGATAGTGCTAATTTATTTTTGTAAGCTAATTRCCTATTTGGAAGTAAATTTGAAATAACCATTTTTGAAAGTTTCTTGTGACCATTGTAAATCTGATAATGGCCAGTGAAATTAGTTGACCATTACTGATTACTTGATGCATACCTATTTGGAATGCTCTCAAAGCACGAACTCCCCTCCGCGTGAGTAACGATTAATTAGCTCTTTCATCTGACTTTAAAATTGTCATCCTTGAACTTGCACTTGGGTTACTGTGGTGTAGGGGAGAATCACAGGAGCATTTGCAGTGGAGTGCTGCAGGGGAAAATAGCTATTAAAAATTTGGACAAGGAACAGGATGGAAGAATGTGTGTTTTAAAAGGTTTRAAAGGTATTGCTGATGATTTAAGATATCTAACTATATTATGTTTTTCTTGCTGCCATGCAAAGTAGTCCAGGCTGTGTTTTGTAAGAAAATAATGTTATGTTAATACACGTGGAAATTACATAACGTGCCAAGAAGAGTTTGTCCCTCTCTGGGGGCCGTGCCCAGAACATAGGGCGGTGGGAGGGAGTGGCAGAGTTGTTAATACTTGCCTTTGATAGATATGCACTTGAAAGCCTGTTAGTGCTGACTTTCTTTGCCTAATTCTGGTATGACCTGAAGAGTTTTATTGCTTCTGGGAGAGATCAGAGATAGAAAATACTAGTAGAACCATCAAGAAAATTTTTCACAGGTGCTGTTGACTGGGGGGACAAACCAGCTTCTTCTCTGGCTACATGGCTGCTATAACTTTAGTCCTTCTGCTTACTGAAGATTGWAGCAAATAAAAGGGGGAGAAGGGGGGATTGTCATCTGCTCTGAGAAACCACTCATGGGATAGGGGAATTTGGTGGCATTTGATTCTATCATCGTTATGAAATTATACATCTCTGTTCAGATTTGCAGTCTACCTTGTTACAGGTGTAAAACAGTTTAGAATTGTACAATGGACCAAAGCAGAGACRAAGTGACACTCATTACATCCTTAGTTTATTTTTAAAAACTTTGTAAAGCAAACTAGATGTGCGGGCATCARTGAGATAGCATAGCTGATTGTCCTGATCAAATACAACTAGCTGTTCTCATCACAAGGGAAAAGTCATATATTAAAGACATTAAGATATAGATTGTGTGACTCTGGGCAAATTAGTATTTAAYGTCAGTTTAAAAACCCTCAGTATATATCCCAGAATTACAGGGGGCTATAGTGTCTAATTTGCTRTCCGTAGATGATATCTGATAGCAAATAGGAAATCAAAGTTGTGAAGAGCCCTGTAAAGTGCCTTTCATCCTGTAGCATTCATCTTTTTAATTGCTGGCCAGCTAGCATTTTGTTGGGTGTTACTAAGCCTTTCAAAGCTGGTTTCTTAAGATGTTGACTAAGTTTATTATAGCACTGTTAGGTTTGTATATGCCAGGTTCTTCTGCTTGTGTTCTGCTCTGTTTGGACTACCTGGGCTGTGTATCTAAATTTAATCACTTTCAGTCTGTTTTTTTTTTTGTTTTTAATGACTTTGCACAGTCTGTCYTAGAGCCCATATAAAACATTTGGGTCCACCATATCCTGTGGCAAGTTCAGGTTGATTATAGTTTGCACAGAGCTTATCCTTGTTAGCTTTGATCTGATCTWCAGCTATTCTCTTTTGACCCTTTATTTTTATATTGGGCAAGACAGAAAACAATCTCTATGCAACTTCTCCAAGCCATTAATTTTGTAGTCCTTTGTCTTATTTCCCCTGTCAGCTTCATGTAGCCTCCTCTCCAGACTGAAAAGGCTCTTCTGCTCAGATGTTGATTATTTGGAAGGTATTCCATGCATTTTTCACTTGCCTTTGTCTGAGCTCTTTTTTACTTACTCACAAGTTGTTTTTTTTTACTTTTGAGTTGGTTTGTTTGTTTTGTTTTTTTTTTTTAAGAAAGTTAGCTAACCCTGCACTCAGTGTTTAAAATGTAGGCATAAATTAGTTCTATAAACTTTAACAACAGTGTTCTGTTTGTTTTTCTAACTGTTTATTGGTCCATTTGGAGCATTGAGCAGTCCAAATGATCTAAACTGTCACATATCCTGATACTGTTGCAGGTGGCAGTTAATAGCTCAGAGAAAGTAATTCCAATAGGAACTSAGAATTTTCCATACCTGCAGACACACAGGCTTTGCATTATATTATCTTATAATCATTGTTTCTGCTTATTGAAGATCACAGTCCTTCTCCAGTTCTTCAGTTARCCCTCATCTTCACAGTCTGGTATGACTTTGTACTGTCAACGGTCATTGAAGTACTCATCCCCTTTTGTGAGGTAATTTATGAATATATCGAACATCATAAACCAATGCAAATTTTCTCTGTGGATCTKAAGGTGATTTTCTGCAGTATGGAGGTGGCTTAGAGAGTTTATGGCTGTTCYTTAGGTACTTTTACGTGCAAAAGGTTTCCCTTTTATCATTTGGTTGCTTAGTTTCCTGAAGATTTGTGAGGGAGTTGGAAAYTCAAATACAGTCTATCATTTAGTTGTCCTTTATCTCTTTKGTACTACCACATACTCTTAACAAATTCCATTAATTTTGCAGAGCAGAAYTTYATAGAATCATTGAATAATTTGGGTTAGAAGGGATCTTAAGGATCTTGTAATTCCAATTTCCCTGCCATGGGAAGGGACACCTTCSGCTTGACCAGATTGGTYAATGCCCCATCTAACCCAGCCTTGAAYTSTTCCAGGGACAGAACAGCGACCACTTCCCTAGGAAATGTCTTCCAGTGCCTCACCACCCTCACTGTAAAGAATTYTGTCCTAATATCCAATCACCCACGGTCGGTTRCTATTACCTTTTGCCCTATCACTAAATGCCCTGGTAAAAAGTCTGTCTCCAGCTCTCTTTTAGCCCCTTCACGTACTGGAAGGTCACACTGAGCTCACCCTGGAGCCTTCTCTTTACCAGGTTTTGTTGCTTTAGTGACAGCCAGGTTGAATCTTTCTCACTATTTGTTTGTGTCCACTAAGTCTGTTCTTGATTACATTGTTTACTAATTAGCACAACAGAGATGTCAGTCTGGATCTTCCTTGAGGCTATCTTTAAATACTGTGTTTTCTACATGTGATTTCTTTGGGTGTTTTGTCAGCTCCAAGGGAGAGATTCTTCCCCTTCACAAAATAGCTAACAACACAGCAATTTCATTACTACTTAAATGCTCTTTGCTACTTCTGCATAATCTGAGATCCTCAACAGGTTAAATTATGGAAACCTTTCTAAACTGTTGGACAGTGAAGTCATACATAAGGATTTCACTTTGCTTCATCAGCTGTTCCTTTATATCTCATAATCTTTTAACCTGTTTTTTTTTTTTTTAAATTTCTGTTACTAGTCTTTAAGGAAAGAATTGATAGTTCTATTGTCTCATCCTGYTTCAGCTGGGAGGCTGGGGAAGAATATATTCTATGTCAGATTTGTCAGAGTGTAAAATTCTCTCAATTTTTCTCCTGGGTACRTGCAACCTTTTGTAAGGAACTTCCTTCTATCCAGGGTCATGCCTCTCCAATTCAGGTATTTTGAGGTGTTATCWTAGCTCTTTAGAGCCCAGTATTAAAAACTGATGTACTAATTGAATTTCCTTGGTAAGACATTTTTTTYCTAGCCTTCTGATATTTTAACTTCTTTTAAGCTAAAAGCATTGTAGTTATACAGTGCTGGCTTTTGTTTTGGTAATCAGATTCTTGTGTACTGCTTAGTGTGAAAGAGGAGGGTAGATTGAGATCATTTATTAAACAAGCAAAAAYAAGAAGCACTGCTAGAAGAATTGGTTACTGTTCTGGTCACTCTTAGGCATGAAGAATTGTAAGCTGGTAATGTGTTACAGGAGTAATCACAGAAATTGTTCTTCAGGAACAAAAATTAGGGGTTTTTTTAGCATCTGATGAGATGACTGTGGGGTTCAGCTCTGGTGGTTGGAGGTTGTCCCCGCTATTACTTTAGAGGTATATTGTTTTCCCCTTAGTATTTTTGTCAAACAGTGGATAGAAGCCAAAAGAAAAATCAAGACTTTTCCAAGTCCTCTTTATCTCTGCCCTGAATAAAAGGGTGAATTTGTTTGGATTTTAGGATTGCTAGGTTGGACTTGTCTTCAGAAGTTCAGTTGTTCAGCATATGTCTTTGTGTTGTGCTCCATGTTCAAATTTTAATATACAGCTCGTTTTGAGTCCAAATAATGGTTTTAACCAGTCTGCTAAGCAGAGGARAAGGTGTTTGGTTTTGTGAGGTTTTTTTTTTCCTAAACTTCAGAGAAAAGTTTATATACAAGCAAATCTATTGGGAGAACTAGGAAGTGTGGAGAGCTAATGAAATAACTCTTCTGTCACCATCCCATAGTGTGGAAAACTTAAGTTAATGAACCAGTCTTAAGCCAGACTTACATTTGGAAAAGGATGAGTRCCTGCTGTTAAAGATCTTGCCCTAAATAATGTTGCCATTTGCAATTCTTGCTGTAGTCTGAGGGTTCCCTGTTCCCATCTTATAGGATAAGGGACTTTGTCAGTAAATATTCCCTTTTCTGAGAGAGAGATTGCAAATAAAAWTCTTTAGTACTGATCCATTTCTAAAAAAAACCAAAAACATTTGAGGAATTTTTTTTCCTACTACTGTACCCTACAATCTGAATTTTAATGTGCCTGATGGTTAGAATACAGCTTCTGTCTTGTTTKGAGCCTGCCACCTGCTTCTTTTAATTGACGGCCTTTAACTGCTACATGGAAGGATCTTCATGCCTGATAAGCTCTTTCCCATCTGGCTTTTTCACTGCTCAGTGTCTTTGTCTTTGAATGCTGAAGTTCTTAATGGGGGTTAAATCTGCTACATATAGTAAAAGGCATAGGACTACTGCTAAAGATGGAGGGGAGAGATTAGAGCAGTTGGAGAGTTTTAGGGGAAAACCCAGTAATATCAGAGCAAGTGGTTGTCTTCTAAAAGTAGCATAAGATGTCTTGCTAAAACATTCTAAGAAGAGTGCTCCTTGATGCTGCAGTAGTTGAATCCAGTCTCAAGCAATGAATATTCTTATCACTTACAAAAGATGCAAAGTCATATGTAAAATGTTTCAATCTTGGTGTTGATTTTTGTAGAAATAGTTGCATATTTCAAGACCAAGTACTTTAGACATAGAATAAAGTTGTGAGTTTTAGTGTGACAAATAGCAGAAAGTTCTATTTTGAAAAAAGGGGGGGGAGATTATACATTGCCARTAAATTAAGGGAAGGTCTTTCACTTCATTGATTTTTTCTAACTGTTGTTATTTTGCTGAAGTTTGCTTTCTTTCTGAAAAACAGKAATCAGTTTTTAGCTGTGTTTCTCATTTGGAAACAGTTGTGGAACCAATTATTTTTCTCTAGGTAGCAGGTGAGATTCAGTAGTGTGAGGAAAGAGTCTCATAAATTGCCTTATTCTTTACTTGAATTCTTGTTTTTGTGGCACCCCTCAGTGCTGGTGTAGCAAGCTGGTCTGAAAACAAAATCTGTCTCTGTTTCTTGGGGTGATTCTGGTTTTATTACCTCTTTTTGAAAGCTCAGTAGGGATTTTGGAATGCTCATCAACATGTCACTAATGATAAGACTGCCAGCTAACATTTGCTAAAGGATGATGTTTTGGGTTATTTATAGGATGGAATATCGTGCAAATAGTTTAATTGTTTTAACTGGTTTTGCTAGATGCATTTGAGGTTGACTGAATGATTTATGAAATATAACTAAGCACCTTTCCCTTGAGAACAGGGATTTGAGAKATTATGGCATCTGAAGCTCACAATGTTAAAAAACAGAAAGTATTGCATATTGAAGGTCATCGCATTGATCTCCCCAGAAAAAGAAACTCTTCTTCCACTAAAAAGATCATGAAGGAGGTAAGCTGCTTGTGTTGTTTATTGGGKTTTTTTTATGTCCTCTGACAAACTGAATTAAACATTTTAACAAGTTCATAGTTCTGAGCACTAGAAGCATAGCACTGCTAAGCATTTGATGTTGGAATGTGCAGTAGAACCTTAACTTGAACAGCAATTATATTATGAAAACTGTGTTATAATAGATACAGGCAGCAGCTGCACGGATCAGTGCATCGTATCGTCCATGTGAACAGTAGGTACTGGTGCAGTCTTAGTCATGCCTGCTTTTCCACAGTCTAGCCAAGAATGTTTCAATACAGGAATTCTGTCACGAAAATGTTCTTGCCAAGACAGCTACACTGCACAAGTGAGAAGTGGAGTAGGTGAAACTTGCATTGAAATGGATCTGTTTTAYTATCCTACAGCTTGATTTACCACACTGGGAGCACATTTTCACTGGATTCTTGCTACTCAAAACCACTTTTTATAATCTCGTAATTGTGTTACTGGCTGAAGAGTAGGGCAGTGGAGTATAGAGGAAGCACTAGGGAGGCAAACTTACTGTAAGCTCACTTCAAACAGTGATGAACATGCCAATATCCTCTGTTTACTTATTGAAATTATGTATTAAARCTCACATAACATTGGCTTGCTGATGTGCACAATGTAAGTGTTGCCTTTAATGTTRAGTAGTACAAATGGGAGTGTTTGACTCTTTTTAGTAGTACAGCTTTTTTTCTTCTCTGTTTCCTTTCTTCCAGGGTAAGAAATCTCCAAAACAGCTGGCTTCATACACAAACAGGTAGGAGGACTGTGCTTTGTAATATCTGAATTTAAAGTGTGACAGAGGTAGGGAGGAGGAAGCAGTTGAAATTGATTACAACACCAGAGCAGACACAGATGGATGATAGATCTTGATTTTAATGACAATTCTCGGTTCTTGTGTTTTCTCCCATAATAATGAGTCTCTGCATTAATAAAAGCAGAGAAGAATATTGGTGACATTAATTCTGATAATCCAAGTGTCATTAAGGTATATATAGAGGGGGAAATGTTTTCAATAACCTGAAAGCTGACTGCTGAATTCATAATTTTATGTATATAAACATAATAATGTAATTTATTAGGTTTAGAGCAACCTTCACTAAAATACTTCTTTATTATTGCAGAATAACAGTTGGAAAAACGGTGACCAGTCCCCTCTCTCTTTTCAAAGTGGTATATTGTAAAAGAAAAGTTCATTGTTATACTCCAAAGCCTTGTTACAGAAAGAAACTGTGCCCTAAATCTAGGGGCTGTGACATGGCAAATAAAGAAAATGAACTGGCTTGTGCAGGGAATCTGCCAGCAAAACTTCACAACAGTCGTACACACTTGCTGAATTCTAGTGACTCTGGCTCATCTCAAACAGAAGGCCCCTCATCCAAATACAGTGGATTTTTTTCAGAGGTGGGTACAGTTTAAAGAAACTTCAATTTAAAAAAGAAATATTCCTGGTAATTATCTGTGAAAGCTTTCACATAGATAAATTTTCTTCAATTCTTTCAAAAGCAGGTCCTGTTTACAGATTTAGTCTCTGTCAGTTCATGGTGATAAAGTTGTCAACAGTAATAGTCCTTCCACCTTTCTCCTTTTTTGTGTTGGGTCAGATGCTCAGATCTGCCAGACCTGACTGGGTTAAAATTGTACCAGCACCAAAGGAGAATGTTGTGTTTTGACCTGGTTAGGTTTCATGAACTGGCAGGACACATGTCCATATGTGTTTTTATAGAAGTGTGGAAGTGTTAGTGGATCAATGGGAATAAACTGGTCAGGTAGCTTAGGACAATTTTCAGTAGCAGTATCAACTTAGTGTGTGTGAAACTAAGTGTTTRTATAAGATTTTATTTCTTCTTAAGATTGGTTGAGGAAACTGACAGTGGATGCTTGCAGGGCTTCTGAAACTGGCTAAAAGGTCAGATATTTAAATGAAATTAATTTTGTGACAGCGAAGGCCATTTAAGTCCCTTATTGTCACAACAGGTTTTTGTTATTCATCAAGGCTTGCATGTGTTTAAAGTGAGGCATGGCAGGGAAGGTAAGATCAGAGACAATTGTTGTCTTGTCATGGTGCTGTAAATACAGGCTGCTATGAGGAGAGAGCCCTGACAGTCCAGTGGGCTGGAGGTGCACGCTGGCGGTGCACGTCTGCAGCACTCCTGCACTGTTCAATTTGATGGTTTCAACAGAAGAGCAGAATAGCTACTATAAAGGGGCTGTAGAAAGATGGTTAGAGAAATGAAGATGGGGAAAGATTAATTTTCTGAGAAGCTAAGGACGAGATCACTGGCCAGTGGCCACAAATGACTGTTWAACTGGTTTGAGAGATGTGTGTGGCTCTGCAGTCCTCATTCCAATCCAAGGTCTAATTAATTAAAATGCCTGAACTTCATTCAGAGAGCAAGCTTTTTCAGAAATGAACCTTTTTTGTCAGAGTTTGGAATAATACACATGATCACTTGTGTGTAAATTGTGTCAACATTAATAATCATCCTAGTTCTCAGGGTTGGTGAGAATTATAGGTTGATGCACATGAATGCTCGTTTTAATTCTTAGATACCTCTCTTAGATGATAAATAGGTACAAACCTTATTCTAGTAGCTTTTGTGTAAAATCTTTTTGTACTCCATTCTAAGGGAAATTTATGGGTTTAAGGCCATTGTTAGTTACATTTTTAAAACAGACTTATCAACATGCAGTAGAAAAGTGTATTATCATGTACCAGGTTATTATGTTAGGGTCGCTTATTGTCTTATTGCTGGCTACTTGTGCCAAACTTTTTRTATTTTTAAAAACATACAGGTTTCTCAGGACCATGAAACTATGGCTCAAGTTCTTTTCAGCAGGAATCTGAGATTGAACGTAGCTTTAACCTTTTGGAGAAGGAGAAGTATAAGTGAACTGGTAGCCTACTTAGTGAGGTAAAAACTGTCTCTTCTTTTATATCCTTAAAATGTTAGAAATCCCAAATATGCCACAGTATTTTAGCAGTTCTGTAAATGTTGTGATTTATTTSAAGTCTTTAACTTTTAACTAAATCTTTTAAATCATGGTGGAAGCATATATTTCAACCTAGGATCCACTGGTAAAACTTTTGATTTTATTCTTAATGTTTCTAGGATACAAGATCTTGGAGTAGTAGTAGACTGCCTTCCTGTGCTTACAAACAGGTACAAACAAAAAAAAGTGGGGGATTAGACTCTGCTTATAACCACACTGAAGTTCAAGCACTTCTTGAAACATCTTGTTTTTTAAGTTTACAGGAAGAAAAACCATATGTTTCAGTTGGCTGCTGTGTAGATCTTTTGCCTTTAGTGAAATCTCTGCTTAAAAGCAAATACGAAGAGTAAGTATCAGTTCGGTATGTCTTTAAAATACTATGCACATTTCCTGGCTATGCAGAGCCCTGGAAATCAATGGTTTTTCATCCTCTGCCTCTTGTTCCTCTCCCCCTTCTCCCACCTCTGTCTTTCTTCAGAAATGAGAAAGTTCCAGAATAGAAGCTTTCCTGTGAACCTTTATCCTTTAACAAAACCRTGGTGCAGAAATTCTTTTCTCCAGTGTTAAGGACTTGAGGAAGAGTACTGGCTTTGCCCTTAGACTTATTTACCAATAACTAAACAGTAAAAAAAAAATAGCACTGAGGTTTTAGTATGCTTTAAAACATGAAGTCAAGGCAAAGTTTTCAAGCGGAGTACTGAAGAATTTCTATTTTTTCAGCAAGAACTTTAGTTTTCCGCTTGGAAATTGCRACGTAGGCAAGCATTTAAACTTAGTACTTTGTCTAAATTTTGCTTCTTTCAGAACAGAAAACATGTTGCTTTGTAAATTGCTTACCAATTTATCTCAACRCTTTATCTGACCTGTAGATATTGTACACAGAGCGGAAAATACATAATGTGTAAAATGTGTTGTTACAGATATGTAATAGTTGGTTTAAACTGGCTTCAGGCTGTCATTAAAAGATGGTGGTCAGAACTGTCTGCACATACAGAAAAGGCAGAAGATGGGTGAGTATAGTGTTGGGAAATATTTAAATATGTTTCTGTGGCCTATTCTCAGTCTGTTTTAATWTTGATCAGTAGGAGCACAGCTTGCCTGCAAAATGCAAAGTTACAACTTTAAGGCTAAAGCTTCAAATAGTTATTTTGTTAACACACAAGTGGTGTTTGGAAGCTTGCTTTAAGGATAGTCAAATTACTGGATTTGTTTCCTTTTTTTGCATGTTTTAGTCCATCTAGAGCATGATCATATCAGGAATTATACAAATGCTGTAGAAGTTCTATCCAAATTTTTCAGATCTTGTGGCAATATCTATTGTATAAAGATTGTATAAAATCTGTATGYTGTATTAATAATTTATTTTAGTAAAAGGGTCTACTGAAATGTGCTACCTGTGTTATAAAGTGATATTCATTCTCTTTCAGAAATATTCATATTTTAAAACAGCAACTAAGTGTTTTGTGGGAACAGGAGAATCATCTTACTCTGGTTCCAGGATATACTGGTAATATAGCTAAGGTAATCTAGTTCTGGTTGTGTTCAGTAAKAAACACACTTGTATCACTTGCAGTATTGCTCTTGTTTTACTAATGTTAAACTGTGGTTGACAGCAAGATTTTTGTTTTAGTTTCTCCTAATGCTCAAGTACATTGCATAGTTTTTACAGAAATCTGGAGTTGATTCCCTATGGTAGTTGTGCGATTTAGAATGGTAATATTTTTTTTCTCCTTTTATCTTTCTTTACAAAAGAAGCCTCTCCATAATTACAAAGCASCTAATAGTAATGAACCTTAATATTGATGTAGAAAAGGGCAGAGTTGAGTAGGTAGACTGTGGAGACAACAGATGTCTTAGAGCAGTGGGTACAACAGATCCACACTGTACATTATAAGTGTAATGCAGAATGGAGAACCTAAGCCCAGGAATGTCACTGGCATTTGCGCATCAGGTGACTGGAGCAAATGACAACATACTAAATTGTAAAGCTTAYTGCTGACCTAATGCTTAGAAAATGATGAGTTTGTGGAGAGCAGAGGAGTATATCTGAGAAAAATCCCTGCTTGCCTTTCTCAGCTGGTTGTGGTATCAGTAACATAATGAGGGTGTCTGGTAGGTGCACGTTTTGCTGCTCGTGCTCATCTCTGTAAACATGGCATTCTGAGATTGGGCACCAAAAGTTGCACTAAGTAAGAAACGTCTCCAGGTGCAGAGACCTGTTGAAGGTAGGCAGCGAGAAAGGAGTTACAGCAGACACTTGGTTGTGTGCAGGATTTGAGTAAACTTGAAAAGAACTTAAAAATTGCATCATTTACTTACATCTTAAGGAGYTTTGTGGAATCTCTAATTCTGTGCTACAGAATTGATCACTTTGATGTATCAAACAAGTATTTCCTTTTTTTCTGGGACTGCTGTGCACCCGAGACTTCAATTTTGATGTCCCTACAAGGATAATTACAAACTTCTTGCCAAGTGTCAGYCAGCAGGGATGTGGAAGAAGTGAGTTCCAACTCCCATCTGGTGGAGCTGAGAGAGCATGTACTGTAGACAGCCTAGTTCTTTTGCTAGATCAGCATAGCAGGTACAGGTAGTGACAGTTTCTTTCTCTAGAGTTCAGRTTCCCTTTATGTTCATTTGCTGGGTTCTTTAAATGTGTATCAGGATAGATTGTGACCCAGGTCACCTTAGCAAGTCAGGAGTAAAAGTACTGCAAGAACGTTGGAGGGACTGGGTGAAGGAATATCACACGTAACATGTTTTAACTACATGATCATGTGATGKTTATGATCTTTCCTGTTCATGCAGGAAGCAGAGGAATAACAGACTAAACTGATGGYTTTTGAAACTAATCCTACTCTTCTTGCAGGCKTTTTAGTACATAAAGAAATGTCATTGAAAGCATTAATTGAAAGTAATCATGAAGATAACTTCTGAAATTTGGGCAAATATAACTATTCTTATGGTCCTGATTGGTTACCCTGCTTCAGACATAGAGTTGCCATTACAGCTGTGACACTTTCTCCTTTTTTTTCCTTCTAGGATGTAAATGCATATTTATTGCAGCTACACTGACATGATGGGGAAACTATGTGTGCTTATGTGGTGAAACAATCCCCTAAAGTATCCCTGAAATATGTACTGAAAGCCTTTTGAGAAATACTGGCAGAAGAGAACTGAACTGTCAAGCTGTTTAATGAAACCACTAACAAAACTCTAACCATCTACTTCACATTGAAGTGGAAAAATGTTTAATAGGAGCAACTTTTACTTCAGTGAGGTGAAAGTGCACTATGAAAACTGTATGCCTTTGCTGCATTTGGGATTTGCTCAGTTACTAGGTATTCCTTTAAATGCTACTGTATTTTACAACATCATCACATAAAAGAAGATGAATTATATTGTTGTGAAGWCAAGACAGCAGAACCAGTTATGAGGAACCAACAAAACCAATCCGCATTAAGAGCTTTTAAATGTCTCTTTCACAGGAGAACTTCAGAATGCACAACTATCTTCCAATTAAATTTAAAAAAATACAAAAAACTTTGGGATATTCAGTTATTTTTATGTTTTAATCAAATTATTAAAGACAGTTTTTGTTTGCACTATTGAAAAACTATACAGCAAAGATGCCTTAATTACTAGTGTTTCAAAAAGCCAATGTATTAAGATGCAAATAGCTATTATGTTCAGATTGTGATGAAAAACTACAAAAATCAGGGTTTCACATTGTGTAGTTAATGAAAATTGCACATATACAAAGATTCATGTATGAAAAATATTATAAATACCTGAAGTTAAGCTTGGATAAGCAGTTACTGCAAATGTCAGCAGAATGGTGAATTTATGTCTAACAAATGTTTTTATATTGTATGTGGATTTCTAACACAGTAATCTTGTTCTGTATCATTCAAACTACATGCAAATAAGTAAATATATTAAATATATCTACTGTTTTTTCTTTTCAAGTTCAAAAAAACTGATTTTTAGGATCATCTCTTCCACAGTACTTTTTATCATAGGTATTTATGTCTGTTTGAAATGTTTACAGCCAGCTGAGGCCATGTTATTCAAATCACACCCTTTTTATACTACCTCCTTTTAAGAAACTGACAAAGAGCTTTTGCAAAATTGATCAAGCTCTTGCCTGATCAATGATGGCAAATTCATACCAACAACAGCATTGAGAATACAGTTATAAACTCTTTTACTGTCATGTTGATATGCTGTTCTATTTTAATTCAAAAGCTATATCATAATAGCTCTGAGGGAGTCTTAATCCTAGGCTTTCTGTTGCCTTTTTAAATTTTGTGATTAGGAAGCATGCTTTTTCAGTTAACATTATCAAGTGCCAGCTCTTCACTTAAAAGTATACATGCACAGCATGTATGACCAAATAGACTTCTTCCTTAATAAACGAAGTACTTACAAGGGTTGTTTTCATACCTAGCATTAAGCATGTGCACTTTTATTGACATAAAAGCAGAGGAGTCTTTTGATAGCCCCAAGTGGTTTTTGCTTTACTTTAAACTCCTATAGTGGTCAATAATTTTAGGCTTCATGTTGCTTCATTTTGTATTTAGTTTATGTATCAATATTGCTGACTACTKAAAGCCAGCTAGAAATCTGTCATCACAACACGGTGCTTTTGGTTATTTGACTGTTCTGTAAACCACCAAAGGTTTTGCATTTCCTAGGGCAGTCAATAACCAAATCAAAGAGTTTCTGAGGCATCCCAAAACTGAGAACTTCATGGGACAATCTGGAGACATGCACATAGCCAAATTCTTTTCTCTAGAATTATATATCATATTTCCTGCCCAAAAAGTTTTGAGATTAGACTTTTTAAATGTTCTTACTGTCAATTAAAAATTTAAAGGAACTATAGTATGACATTATTCTTGTATTACTTTTCTGTTGAGCACTTAAATGTAAAAGTAACAAAGTCTAGCTTCATCATTTGGGTAGAAATTGCTGAAACTCTTAGATTGTTCCTCAAGGAGAATACTGTAAAGGTAGTGGAAACTCGGATTTTTTTTTTTTTTTTATGTTTTGGGGTTTTTTTAATAGGCAAAATAAAGTGGCCTATTATTGGCCACTTATTTGTGATAAGAAAGCATAGTTTTAATTGATTAAAGGGTTATTTTAGTACTTAAAAATCCAGCTTGAATGTAGGTTTAGATACATGGGCTTGTATCTTATATCTTGTACATGGGCTTATAGTGAATTCTGTATGTGGCCATAGAGTTACCAAGCCCTAACTGTGGATGGACAGTGCTGTTGTTTTAGAGGCAAGGTAAGATTGACTTGAGGATCATTATTGAGGAATATCTAATAAAGTAGTTCTTTTTAACTGCCAAAAGTTGTATTTTGACAGCATCAATGATACAGTATTAAACAYTAAGTCATTAGTATCTGTGCCTTATTTTAAATGAATTTACTGTTTTCAGGCAGCTACTAGACTAAGAATAGGACTCAGGTGTCCATATGATGAATGTTTTTTTCCATCATGTTCTTAAGTCGTTTTAACTATTCACACTAATATTCAGGCTCAGCTTCTTCTATTCACTTTAGTTCTGAAATGCCTAGGAATCAATTTTGCTGCTACAGAATGTCCTTGCATAATATCTGGTCAAAGTTGGCATGAGTTAAATGTCTTAACAGCTTTGTAACTCCACTAAATCTCCATACAGCTGTGTAAGTCCACTAAATCCACARAGTTGTCTCAGTGAATCTAAGAATTACGTTTATGAGCTATCGTATGCATAAATGCTAACCTTTTTGATACTTTCTAAAAATGCTGTTTCTAGTATGTGTCAAAAGATCCAGGCAGAATTAATCCCTTTCCTGTAAGTCCATGTGRTGCAGAAGCACGTATGTATTTGACCTCCACAAAGCTGTTCTTCATGTTGGACCACTTGATATGAAACTGATGTCTTTGAAAAACAGTATGTCTTTTGCTTCAATGTTCCCTGAAAGTACTTGAGGCTGTTTTGCTGAAGGASTACTTCTTTTAAGTGTGACCCAGGATTTGCCCATCCCCTAAACTGAAATTGAAGAATTCTTCTGGCAAACTGTCTCTTTTTGCACAGCTGAAAAAAAAGTCCAATATTTTATCAGTTTAAGTAGCCAAGTACTGATAGCTTACTGAAGAGTGGAGGTGAAAAAAGCTATCCCATTAATTAGTTGGGTGTGAGGAAGTCTTAATGATTATGTATGTCCCTGCTTTGAAGGAGCTATGCCCATTTCTCAGGAAAGAGTCCTCTGTTCTTGTATCACACAGGAACTGCAGTTCCAGACTACTTAATAATGCTTACAGATTGTTGCTGGTATTAAAAAAAAAAAATAGCATCAGCCCTCCAGGAGCTTACCCTTTGCAGTGAGATATAAATAAAATTATTTCTCCCTCCATAGGCTGCTTTATAATAGGCTGCAGTTTTAACACTTGAGGTGCAGGAGGGATGGGAGAGTAGGAAAGGATGAGGTACGTGTGCCCTGTGCTGAGTGACATCAGCCCCACTGCATGATACCATATGTATCTTAAAGCAGGCTCTATTTTCTTTTTTCTGGCGTCTGAAGTAGGCAGGTTTAGAGTCAAAGGTCTTTATGCATTTTGCATTGAAGAGATAAAGGTTTTGAAGATGGGTGCTACAGTGCTAATTGGTGATTTTTTTYYTTTTTTTCTTGAGAGAGTGGACATTGTTGTATGTGGAAACTGGAGAGTATGTTATGTGAAGCTTWCATTTTAGACTAGCAGATTGTTGCTTTTGCCAGTTCATCTTGCCAGATCTTCCAGTTCTACAGAAGACTGAATGTCTGTCTTAGTGTGGAGTTTTGCAGCTATTTTTTTTGTGCCTGGTTTTCTGGTGCAGAGTAAAACTGGTGGTTCACAGTCAGCTATTTCATGATACAAAACCATGCAAATTATGGTACTGGTGTGAAGTTATTCCAGCTTTGCACGATGCAAATGCTAAAGTTTATGACAGCAGTTGATTCTTTTGAGGTGAACTTTAKATTGAGCTGATGCTGCATTAGTGAAGGAGAAAAAAAAAAAAATTAAGCAGTTTTCAATAGCCTTGGCAAAAGCCAGACAGTGTAGTCTAATTTTTGCCTTTAGTCTACCATCCTACACACAGTAATCATTGTATGCTACAGATAAAGATTCAGAGAAAATAGATTGAACATGCTTGTTATTAGTGCTTATATTATCATTCTTTAAACAATTTATGTTTATTCCATRAGTTAAATGGCTTGTTTTATGTCTCAGAATGAGACTGAATGCAACTATTTTTCTCCCCCTTTCCACATGTATTCTTTAGCACTTAATGATGTTATTTATTGCTCATCTACTTTCAATATACTGAGAGTGTTTCTTGTTAGAGCTGGGGAGGGGAAGATGGAATTCTAGACAAAGCATAGGGCTGGCTATTTAACACAATTCAATTTGAGGTTATTGTGAAAAATTCCTATCTTTAAAACTTTTCACTCAAATTTTGTTAATACCTGTGAATTGAAGTGTGCACTCACAGCTGCAAGTTTGACTTTGAAATTGGTTGGAAAAAAATAAAGTGTTTTCATTCTAAATAATCATAGCTGCAGTATTGTTTCTGTTCTCATTTTTTGCATTGAGTACTAAGCTGGACTCTGATTCTAACCTGTCTTAAGGGAAGCAGGAGGTGTAGCACTGTCCCTTAAAGGGATAAAATGAAAATACTTACATCRTCTTCAACTATTGCAGGCCAGGGTATTTTTGTTTTTCTGCTGTCTGGAATTTTGTAGTATGTCTCTATGTAGACTGTGGCTGCTGATCACATTGCTGTAAAATGAGATCTGCCACTTTCAGCTTGAGTGTGTTCCRTAGTGCTTCTGATTCATACGGATCACTGCTTCACTTCAGGCAGTCATTATGTTGAGCRCTGTAGTGTGGATGAGCAACTAAGTGTTGCGGTCTCAAACATCTTTCTTTGCTGTAACAAAACACAGGGATGCTACATTTATCCTTCCCTTTTTTTTTTTTTTCCATTTATGTGCTTAGAACTATTTCAACCCCCTTTAGAAAGTGATAGATGCCAGAACATGATAATGCTTTTACAAATACGCTTCTGACTTCATTTAATACAGTTCTGTGAATAACAGTTTTCTGTAGATTTGGGAAGGAGGCTGTTTTTGGTATRTATAGGCTTGAAATAAATAGAGCTAGTGGACTTTAATGATACTGTTATCATATTCTTGATACTTTTTTTTTACATAAACACTGTGTGTATTGTGAAACAATTATCCAAATCTAAATATCAAGATAATGTTACATTCCAAAACTGCCTACTCTTGCAAGTGCAAGTGTTGAAATACATGTGCACCATAGTATCTTACTTTAAAGTGACCTGTAGACAGTTTAAAATAGCTCTTGTAATTTATGTCTCTTTGTCAAATTGAATTTAATCTATTTAGCTTCACTTTCAAACTATGGGTCTTGCAGTTGCCACTTTCTACTCATTTCAGATGTTCTCTGGATTTAAAGTAATAATGCAGTAAGTATTCCAGCATCAGAAAAATAGCTGGTCCTTTATTCTTTTGTGAAAACAGGCTTTCACTATATCTCTTCTGCACAAGTTGAACTTCTTTTTCTGCAAACGTTAAATAATTTTTAGAGACACACTTTCAGAGGAGGGTTGCCACATACAAGAACCAAACTGTGACATGTTTGGTTCCAAATGGGGAAATTACACAAATGCAAGCAGCTGTTAGGACAACACACATTTCATTAGTATTGAATTGTCTTTTCTCATGTGAATCAGCTGTCCTATTATCTATTCAGTCTAGWTAAAAGTGGAATGATACATTATTGGGGAGTTGAAGTCTTAACAGCTCTTGTCTGTAAGAAACCAAAACTTCTCTTTCCATTCTGACAAAATCCCTACAATCAATACRGAGAGGAACTAGTTGTTGTGTGTTTGGTTTGGAGAGAAGAAATCTCTTTGTATGTYTGCTAATAGTATTTTGTCTTGAAGCTTAAAGGCATAAGCATTTATGTGTGCTTAAAAATATTAGTTATTAGAATAACAAGTTTCTGACTGAATGGGGTGTAAAAACACCCTTGCCACATTAGTTTATTTCTGAATTACTCTGCCACCTCATGTTCCAGCTGCAAGAAACTGTAAATTATAAAAATATAAATAACAATCATTGCACAAGTACTGATAAAACTTGCTTTTCAATGTTGTAAAGTTTAGGCTATTTCTAGTGAAGCAGTAAAGCAGGACTAAAAAAATAGCAAAACACAAGGCTGAGAACAAAACCTGCCAGCTAAGTCTAAAAAGCTTGACTTTTTTAATCAGCCAAAATGAGTGGTGATCGATGGGAGTGTTAATTTTGGAGTAATTCTGTGCCAGCAGCCAGCATTAGCATAAGAACAGGCAGAATAGCTGGTTGTGAGGTGAACCCTACCCACCAGAGCAACTTTCTTTCCACATAAATTTTCTTAGAACCTTTTGCTTTTTTGTNTTTTTTTTTTTTTTTTTTTTTTTTCCAGATGATGTCACAGTTAAGGTGGTTTTAGATAAAGAGAGCAGAGAGGTAAATTTCTCTAAATCTGTTTTTTTGGATGGGGTACTGTTGCAAGAGGTGTCTCTCAAAATGTACATCCGATGGTGGTATCAATAATCATTAAAAGGGGTTGAGGGCTTGAACACAGGCAAATTCCAATCAGGACTGTGGTTGCTGTGTGCTGTCCTGGATGTCAGTGTAGGGAATTGAATTGTGTGAAACTGGGGAGGGAGGCGTGTTTAAGATACAGTTCAAAAATTTCCATTACCTGAAAAGGGTGCCTGTGATTGCTGGGAGATTGGGGTATGATGATACTGAAAGTCTTTCCCATCCTGTGTGCCTAACCTACAGCAGYGAGGCCCTTCACAAAGAAAGGCTGGAGACCTGATGCTCACAGAGCAGCCATCTTTCCTCTCAGTTGCTGCTTTTCTGCTCCTCTGACATGTTGGGGCACATCTGCTTGGCTGAATTCCCAGCTCCACATCCTTGTCGCTTATCCAAGTGAGAATAAAATGCCTTGATATTTGACACACCTAGTTTCCCAGGTGATGTCTTGTCCCTCAGGTCTTCCAGGTTCTCACTACAAAACAACTTAGAGCCATTGAACTGTGAAAACTCAGAGACTTATGCCCTACACAGGGCAAGTGTGGRGGCTGCTGTGATGTTTAAGATCAAGCTGTTGGGAGGGTTTGTGTGTGTGTAAATGTTTTTTAAACATGAATACTCGACCTATTTTCTACTGACTTAATTAAAAATGCCAACAGTTCTGAAGCTTTAAAAATGGTAGGTTGGTACATAGTTAGGGAGAAATCCTGCTGCTGAGGGGTAAGTGCTTTGTAGGTTTGGGTTGAGGTTTTTTCCCATTCACCCATCTTGCCTCCCCCTCATTGTACAGTTCTTCAGAATTGTTGGTGCCAATTTGAATTTTTGTTTTTGCAAGCTTCTGTCTTTCACGGTTTTCTGACCACACAAAATAATCAGGAAGCTGGGTAGAGTGAGGATGTGTTATGTTCACAAAATGCTGTGTAAGCACGTTTGCACTCGTTTTTGTGCAGMCATCATTTTTGCATTTTCCTCTACATTCCAATGCATTTATGTTTCTATGGATGGCACATTCCTTAAAGTGTCTAAAGGGGTTCTTTCTGTCTCACAATTCTTGGTTCAAAAAGCAGATTAGTTGTTTTCCAGATGAACAAGGAAGGTTGCTACTAGTGCTAAAAACCAGAAAGGAGGGGAAAAAAACCCAAACCACAAACAATTCAAAACTTAATCCAAACCAATAAACTAAAATGCACTCGTCTCTATCATAAAGTAGAGCTGTAGCCAAATGACAATAAATGCTGCTCTCCATTTTTAATTAAAAAGGGGACATAAGAATATCTTTCTGAGCAAGGAGTCTCTGATGCTGCAAGTTGTTTGGGTTTTTTTTAGGGTTAGTGTACTGTGATTTACTTTCTAGAGTGAATGTTTGGTTCATGACCTCAGCCACCTTACTCTGAAGGGCTGTAAATAAGAGGAGAAYGCCCTTGGAGCTTTTTTTCATAGTTGGCAGCTTGCTAACTTCAGCTTTTGCTTTGGGGACTAGTGAGGCATATTTCAGCATTTGTGTTTGCAGGATTTGGCATATGTACTTTTGATGCTGCTTCCTTATTTGATAGTTCTCTCTGAGCTCTGGAAAATGAGCATTTAGCCTCTGGTGCTTCCTTTAAGTCTAGTTAGGTTGAAACAATTCTGATGTCAGTTATTCTGCTTATGTGGAAGGAACTGTAAAATCTCTCTTGGTAAACTCACCAAATCTAAATTAATTGTAATAGGTTTCTGTATTGCGAAAATATTAATCTATGGATCTTAGTATCCTCATAAACAAGTTTTTTTCTGGCAAAATGGATGTCTGTGGTTCCTTTGTAGTATTTACTCATCTTATGCTATTTTTCCTACGTTTGAGAGCAGTTTCCATCCATTAGCCCTAAGGTATGTCTTCAAGATACTGCTGTCCATGTGTTTCTGGTTTAGCATAGCTGTCTCATCTTCCAGGCATTTAGTTGAGGTTATCTTTTGGCCAGGAAATGTATTCAGAACTTGAACTGATTTTAATGGTCTGAAATAATACCTTCACTGGTGTTTAGGAGCAGTACAGTTTTTGATGAAAATATAATTTGTGTTGGCTTTGCAGCAATATAATTGAATTTTACTGTCTCAACAATGAGAGATTYGATTGAGAGGAAGAATTCATTTGAGTTGGATGGCTCCAGCAAGTCCTACTTTTTGCTCCCACGTCTGGTGGTGAAATAAAAGGAAGATAAGCAGCAATTACTGCTTTAAGGATGGTTTGGACTCATCCTCAGTCGCAGCTACTGTCTCATATATACTGCTGCTTCCCCTCACAGCATTGCCAGCTGTCACCCATGCAGAGCTGTGCCATGTGTAGAGCAGCTGCAGCACTGCTCCCTGATCTGCTTTGTGAGCTCCAGACATAGGGTCTCAGAGCAGAGGTGATGCTTTTGCTGAACCCTTAGTAGGATTCTTTCCTATAGCTGAGGTACCCTTAGAATATGATCCAAACTCTCATCTAAAACTGTATCAACCATTTACTTATAAAATAACCTGTTTTTCTTTCCTGTATGTGCCTGTTCTAGGTTGAGATGTGACRGTGTGCTTTGTATGCCAGGAGAATCTTCTCATTTTCAATGCACAGGCTCAGATTTTCTAATTGCCCTGTGTTTTGTCTGCCACAGAGACTGTCCAGCCAGATAACGGGCTGGGTAAAAGCCTGCAGTGGGACTTGTGGTGGCTCAAGCTCTCTGTGGCCTTGTGAAGAATGCTCCTCTTCCAGGCAGCTACACTGCAGCCTTTCAAAGGTCCAGGTGCTTTTTCATTGAGCATCACACTATTTTATGGAGAAAGGGACAGCACATAAAATACGATTGTCACTYTCAGAGATGAGCAGATTGGTGGGTTTGATTTAGGTTTGTTTATTTCTTTTCTAGACAGGCATTACCTGGGATCTCAGTGCAATGTATATTTTTGTTAAGCAYTTATGCACTGTGTCTTCCCCCCTCCATCCCATATATGCATACCCACAACTCTGGCATAAATACAAAGCAGCCCTGGCAATTATTCAATTTGTTTCGTCCTCCCAATATTTTAACAAACCAGTATCTTAAAAGATTTCTTTACACTTGCAAGAAGTAATTCTAAAGTAGAAACCAGAGTTTCTGTCAGCTGAAATGAACACCACTTTTAAGATGCTTTGCTAAATTCTTCAGGCTTGCAGGAGACAGTAAAAGTTATGAAATCCTGCAACATTCTTTCAGTAGATCATGGTTACTTTATTTGCCTAAAAGAAGAATCTAAAAGCAAAGCACAAAATTAAATTCAGGACTTCTCTCTGTGGCAAAGCTACTACTTCCARTGAGCCCTGGATTT